CCAGAACTAACTACGGAGATCAGTTGACTAGCCATCAGTTCCCCAGAGTGTTAAACTATTTTTTTTGTCACTAGTCATTTGTATTGAAAGTGTTCCCCGCACAGTTGTATTACCGGTACTTGTTTCTTTACATGAAACATAGCGAGTCGACTGTGTGTACAAAATATACTTTACCTTTGTTATTTCGATAAAGTGCTGCTACCGCTGTTGCTGTAGGGGAGGAGGGGGCTTTGTCAAGCAGTTTTTGTACCGTTTTTTTCCCTCTTCCCTCTCTTTCTGTACGAAGAGGAACAAATAAACTTGAGACTTGAAATTATTTTTATTCATTTATTTATTTATTTATTGCTACTTCGCCCAGTGGGCATTACAGTAAAGGGGGGGGGGGGGGTAGCACATGAGACATAGCGTAGAACAGTAAAATATACCGAAGATGCCATACAAAACAATACAACAGACACAGTGCAGTGCTAACAACAACAAAAAAATGACACAACGAAGGATACTAGGCACCTTACATCAACATAATAGTGTCAAAAAAGAAGCAAACAGAAGGGAGATCTACTAAAGCACCCGGGAGTATTCGTGGATCGTCTGGGAAAAAAAAAATAAAGAATACTTTAGAACATCAATCCTAGCGCAGATATCTCGAATTTTTGTTTTTGAATTTTCTACACTTTCGAAAATGTAGGCAGGCGTTATACAACATGTTGACTTATCTAAACCTGTGTTCCCATAATAAAGATTGTGCAAAACCTTTAGACGTAGACATTTCCTCTTAAACCTTAAAGATGTCCATCCCAGTGCGTGCTTTATTTCTAAGACGCTTTCCCGAAAGTTATAAATATCTGAAACAAATCGTGACGCTTGGTTTTAAATTCATTCTACTTGATTAATGCATATTCGCGTATGCGGGTCCCACACAATACACGCATATTCTAAAATTAGTCGAACGTAAGAGAAATAAAGAGTCTCTTTCAGGTCTGCAGAAATTTTCCGTAAGTTGCGACGGTGGAAATGTAACTACACTCCAAGATATTTGGCTTCAGTGGCATGATCTAAAGGTTGGTTGCCTAAAAAAAAAAAAAAAAAAAAGGAAGAAATTACCTTACGCTTTCTTGTAAATCTAACATGAATACATTTGGATGCATTAAGAAACATCTTCTATCTGTCGGACAACCTTGAAATGTTATCTAGATCATTATGTAAAACTTCAATATCTGCGTCTCCGCATATTTCTCTACACAAACCAGCACACAGCCTGATGTGAGATGAGATTCCGTTTGTAATATCATTTATAAAATTAGAGAAAGAAGTGGGCCTAAAACTGTACCTTGCGGTACACCCCATGTTGCGGCTACGTATGATCTGTGAATTCCGTTAATGACGACACCTTGTTTCCTGTCACTGAGATAATTAGCTATCCACTGCAGGACGTTGGTATCGATGTTCAGACTACGCAGCTTGTAAAGGAGGTATTCACTTGTTTGAAGGCGGTACTTCACGGAAACACACAGAAACCTCAATTTGGCCAACATAAATGCGTTGAAACGCGCGATTTGAGGCAGGTATTGTGTACGGCCAGTTACGCCATGGTAAGTTCGAAAACAAGTTTCGTGGCCACAAGCAGACTGTTGTCTAAAGACCGCACAAAGGAAATTTTTTTCTATCTCCACAAAAGCTCTTTCATCGTGATTTTGTTTAATACTAATATACCACACTAAATATACGTACTTTTTGTCATCTTTCAACCCTGTTCAGCCCTTCCCTGAGAGCGCAATCGCTCTTGAGGTGGAGACAACAGGACACTGCAGGCGACAATTATACTGGACCGTACGATAAAAGCTACGATTCAGGCCGGCGTTCCAACATGGCCCGCATGTTGATCGCTTGCACGTAATCTCTTAAGCGGTATTTTTTAACTCTTTAATGTAAAGCAGGACGTCGCCCTGCGACATATAGGTCATCTCATCTTGACGTTACATCACTGGTAAGCAAAACACACGGTGACGTGGGGGGTCGATGATCATGATACAAGCCTCTGTTCAAAACGGGAACAGGCCCACTCGTCACAACCAAGTCGTCACAGGGAAACTGGTCATAGGTGAACTGGTCAAAGAGGGCATCTCGTTCTAGGTGAACTGGTAGTAGGGAAAGTGGTCGCAGTGACCTTCTCGTTCTTGGAAAGTTCGTCACAGACTTTTTTTTTTTTATAGGGGGAGGGGAAGGGGCGGGGGGGGGGGGGGGGAAGAGGAGGGGGCTTTATTTTGGTAAGTGATCGCATCAAACTTGTCGCAAATTCAAACTTGGCCTCTCCTTTTGCTTGTTTGCAGGGGGCGGTTGTGGTCGGCTTTTCGGAGTTATCTTTACTTACGACGTCCCTTTGTTATTAAGCCCTTTTCGGAAGCTTTGCTAGGTCGAAACTTATTGTGCAATGACAAAACAGGGGTGCGGTATGCAGACCTCCGCACCAGGATGCTAGGAAGTGTAGCAGTTAGGTTTCGTCTTTTGGGGCACCTTCTCTTTTCTCTATATCTACTCCAAAGGGGTTTTTCATTCGTAGTGGCTTCGAATACGTATATATATAGGGGCAAAATGTGCGGACCTTCAGAGAGCACGACCGCATTTCGTATGATGAACCGAATTAAAACCCGGCGTGACGCTCCCGTGCTGTGCGAAGGGTATTCTTATACGCTTAGCCGAAAAGACCCCGACGCTATGTACTGGGTCTGTAGAGATAGAAAGCATTGCCAAGGCCAAAGCCATCACCCTCAGATGCACCAGGACGACTTGCCCTACTTGAAGTGTTTACTTATGATGAGTTCGCTTGTGATCAGTTCTCCTAGACCCAATATTTTCATGTTTCAGAGTGGTTGTTACAGCCGGTCATGGGCCAATGAGTTTGCTTCTCTTGATAGCATGAGCGCGCACGCCCAACCAAAGCACGGCGGAAGCTCACGTGCGCGTTCTTTACTTGTTTCCGACAATATAGGAAGTATTCACTGGACGCCATATTTGTGGGTGCTGTTTAGAGCGCATGTTCAGAACGATCTCACATCCATAGGCTGCTAAGACCGGTGCTCTTGATGGTGCGGAATGCACGTTACAAAAGAACTGCAGAAGCTGGCTTTAGCACGCGCTCAGAATTCGCGCACACACATATGCCCCACCAGTGAATACTCCCTATATCGTTCTCAGGTACGGCCCAGTGTGCGATATTTGCAGCCCAGCATGTGCGTGCTTGTCGCTTCGGAAAGCGAGCAAAGCACGCGGCATAAGCACATACTCTTCGAGATGGCAGCAGAAGCTTTTTTTGAGAAAAATCTATGCAAGACCATATCGTGCTTTTATTTTTTAGTTGTAAATTACTATTTGTCATCAGTTATCGAAGCCGAACTGCAAACGCAACATCAGAGAAAAAGGTAAATTGAAACGAAATGGACAAGTGCCCAGTTTCCCTCTGTTACGACTTCCCCGTGTACAAGATGCCCTATGACGACATGACCGATTTGACGAGTTTACCTACGACGAGTTGGCTGCGACGAGTGGGCTTGTGAAGAGGTCTCCTAGACCCGTTCAAAACTAGGGATGTCGCGAACCTTCCGAAGTTTGAATTCGACAGTTTACGAAAATTTTCACCACTGTCTAGATTCGAATTCGTAAAGTTCGAAGTGGTCAAGGTTTTTGAAGATTGAAATTCAACGGTTTCGACTGTTTTAATATTGAGGTTCGTAGAATTTAGGGCGTTCAATTTATTTTTATGAATCGGGTTAGCCAAATTCGATAACGTTGAATATGCTTGAGCTTTTGCTTCAAAAACTTTGGATTGGTCGAATTGTTTTCGAATCATAAGTAGGCAAGCTTTGAAGTGTTGAAACCTCGTACTGAGATTGGGGTTTTCGGATTCCATCAATTGGTCCTTACAAATATCGCGAGCTGAGCTCCGGAAACTTTGCTACGAATGTTACACGTGCCGTAAAGTTTATTCAGAGGGGTCATGAAACGATCCGTTTGCTATGTTCGTGACTTTGCAGAGGCGTACTTGGTTCGCGTCTGATCCAAGCATACTTGCGAAGACCGCCACTGATTCAGAAGCTTTTTGTCGCAGTCAAATTGCGAGGATCAAAGGGGACTATTTATTTGAGTCACGCCTTCCCAATATTTGGTGACGTAATTGCAGGATCTAAACCACCCGCCTGATGACAGTCGAGAGCGTGTCCGTAGCCTTCTTTTTACTGACAAAGCCTGGCAGATCTCCACGAGAAGTGGCCGCCGAAAGTAAACAGGTAGAGCGGCAGACAACGAATGAGAGGAGAGCCACGTGACAGGCGCCCCGCTGCGGCGAGACGCCGAAACACACTTCTCCCAAGCGATGGAATGTGCGTGCTCCTGGCGATCCTCGCGCTACCGCTTCCTTTCTGGTCTGGTCTGAAAGCCATGTTTCGGGTCCTCGCTGCTGCAAAAGCTCTGTGCTGCCAGATGCTCGCGGTCCGAATCTGCGACCGGGCACTCTATGGCTCCGTCGTCGTACTGCCAGGCTTTGTGGGTATGGCTATGGCGCGGCTCATGGATTGGACACGATAACTGCTCGAGCACTCGACTGCGGTTCGTAACAGTCGATGCCTCGGCGGACACTCGGGTAGTGGCTCGCGCCGCGTCCAACCATTGCGGTGATGAGAATGGCCGAACTCTAACAATGCCTGGAGCTCAGCGCACCTTTTCTACTTTGACACCCCAGCACGTGGATATGATAAACGTTAGCGGCACAATATGGGCACCAGGTCACGTGGCCGTTTGTTCTGGCTCCAAGTTGAGGGGGTTAACGATGCTCATATCTCTTAAATTTTCTTGGCGACTGCTATTGCCTAAAAAAAAAAAAAAACTAGAGCAAGTTTATTTATTTAATAACGTTAGGGAGTTGTTCTAAGTAGTATTTAGCAAAAATAGAAAAATTATTGCATGGCTTCTTTAGGGCCCGGTGACATTTAGAAAACACGGCGGCCTTTGGAGAAAAAACGAAAGTAGTAGTAAAGATTTATTTTCTCAGGCACGGACGTTGGGGTTAGGGTAGGCCGGAGAGGGCAAAATAAAAGATGCCAAAAAAAAACCACGCTGCTCTAATCGGACTCAAGGCTTGCGAGCCGCGAAGACGAAAGCGAATACCTCGGGTGTCCCAAACTCAGCGGCACTTCTTTTGGTACGGTCTACTAAGACTTCAAAACCAGCATCTTTCAGTGCTTGTTTGATCACGTCTTCGGTAAAGTTAGGCAGAGGAAAGTCAGCGGTTCCCAGGCGATAGGTGTTTTTCAAGCCTCCAAAACCAGCTAAAACAAGCAGGCCGCCAGGTTTCAAGAGTGCTGCCACGTTTTTCACCACGATTCGGTAGGACTCCTCGTCTACGGCGGCCGATTCCAGGGTGCCGCCGGAGAAGACGACGTCGAAGGTTTCCCTGTGTTCCCCCGGGAGAACTCCGGGTTCCAAGACGTCGCATGGAACCACCTTCCGGATGGAGGAGCGAGTGCGCTCTTGTATTTCCAACGTCCCCTTCTTGATGTCGCTGCGAAGCAGAAGGAAGGAGCGGCGATCAACTTAGATGCAGCTACGATGCATTACACTGTTTACAAAAATTTAGCGGCTCCATATATACTTAGCGCTGTTGGTTTTCGGGTTTTAATTTTTTTTTTTTAATTAGGGGGTAAAAATCGGTTGGTATTTTTCAAGTTGATAATCGTGGAAAACCCGTTCTTCTTTTTTTTTTCTTTTTTTGTGAAAACTTTTTGGAATTCGGGTTTTTTTGGGGGTAAATTTACAAATTTACTCAGTAATACATTCGTTTTATTTTTTTTTATTTTTTTTCTTAGTCGGAGGGTATTACGAGCTCTTTCACGCTAACGCGTTAAAATTAGGGATATGTTTCAGGCTGGTAATCGGGGGGACATCAAGGTTTTCCAGTTTCGATTGCCGTCGGTCGCTTCAAGGGAAGCACCCTCCACGGAATCCTCCTCTCCCTCAGGTTTCAACGAAAACCCTGACCGTTCGAGGGACGGTCGTCTTCGATCAGATATTTTGCTATGGAATGAACCTGTTAAGTTTTCCCGATCTTTACGCGACTGACTGGCTCGGACGTTGTTCGTGAGAAGGGTTGGACACCAGCGAGATGGCCATGCTACCCGAGGCTGGGCGTCGACACCTAACAGCGGTCGAAGGGGTGTTGATAGTGCAATTCAAAAGCTGTGTGCAGAAAGGCCGAAGCTACGTGGCGTGCCAAGGCGCTTCTACCTGCACAGTGGGGGGGACGGAAATGCCCCTCCGAGGCCCCAACGCTAATCGTCGCTTTTCTTCAGCCGGCCTTCGTAGAATGTCACGGTGTGCTAGGCGCACTGCGTCCACAATGCTGCACGCAGCTTGCGAAATAAACTATTCACCGCATTCGGCGTGAGTTTAATACCACGAGGGCGCCACAGTATCTGCACTCTAAAAAATGTCTGTAAGTCTGCTTTCCCGCAAAACTCTCGGAGAGCCAATCACCGCAACTTACGGAGGCAGCTCAGCGAATGGCAATGCCAAAACAAATGTTTAGACCAAAAAACGCAGTCTGAGTTGTGACATTAAGCAATGCAAGTGTGACGCTTCGCATTGCTTAATGTCACAACTCAGACCGCGTTTTTTGGTCTAAACGTATGTTTCGGCATCGTCATTCGCTGAGCTACCTCCGTAAGTTGCGATGATTGGCTCTCCGAGTGTTGTGCGGGAAAGAAGACTGACAGTTATTTTTTTAGAGTGTGGTGCCCCAGTAGACCTCCGGTGGTGTATTTATTTGTTCTCCACCAACGCAGAGCGATCGGGTAAGAAGTTTTTCTCTCCCAGAGGTTTCTATAATATGTTTTAAAGCACTTGCGCTTATTGTAGGAAGTAGTAGAAATAACAAAATGATGAAAAACAAAGGACAGAAGAGGAAAACCGAAGCGCGGAACTCCGTGCGGCGTAAAAATAAATAGGTTGGTTTATGTGGTTTTGGAAATGCACAAAAATCAGGTTTAACACAATTTTCCTGACACATGTTCGGGATGTAAATTTCGGGTAAAATCGGGTGTACCCGAAAACGAACAACCCTATATATACTCTGTTCCATCGTCAGTCCGACGGCTAACAACGCTACGAGTCAACGGGGCCACTCAGTCTCCTCAGTAAACGCTAAATCGCAATTAGCGCTTGCTGAGTTTTGTTACCAAAAACTAATTCAATCGAGCACCAGGAATGCGTCGTGACATTGCGTTTTAATTTGCGCGTTTGTGATTATGCTGCAACTATAGTCACAGACCGTTGAAAGAAGCAGGGTGGGGGCTATTATCTTCGCCCCCCTTGCTTCGTGATGGGTCCTTCGGCGTTCTTATCGGCTGAAGCCGCAATCTGATTGGCTGTGGAGCGAAAATAAGCCGGGACTGGCCGTACCCTCCTTTTCTTAAGCTCTCAAGGACTACAGCTGTTGGCTTCGTTACGACACGAAGCATAACTCACGCGTGTAGGACAGCACGTTATGCATCTTTATGGTACCAGTTCCTCGCTGCACGCGGGTATACCTGTAGCTTTCCAGTTCAGCAAATTCCTCGGCACGGGCGGTCCAATCGACGGCATCTTCATCCTTGCTGATCCACTTGTTGAGTTCCAGTCTGCAGCCTTCGACTAAGTCACTCAACACGATGTCGTTGAAGTGACGAGAGAGTGCGAACAATCGGCAAATGGAAGGGCCAGTGCCTACATCCAGAAGGGTTTTGCCCTGAACCAGATCTGTGGAGAGCAGACGAGATTTCAAAGGTCGATGTAAAAGCCATTTCCTATCCTTTAAACAAATTTTTATTCCATTCATACGGATATCGTATTTCACGCTCAGGGTTTCTGTATTATTTACAGAAATCATATTTCCCCTAATTATTTTGTAGCACACGGAAGGTACTAGACAGTTCGAAAAAATACAAGGACCCCAAAGGCAAAAAAAAAAAAAAAAAGACTTTCGCAGTATGGACGACCCGTGGGGAGATTGAGCTAACCCTGGTTTACTTCCGTGTGTCAGCTGCTTTACTAGGGAAAACATATTCTACTCTGCTCATCTGCATTGGACAGCACGCCCACAGCATAAATCCTCCCCTAGCGGCGTAGGTACACCGCGTTTAAGAGAACACGTACGCGTCACGTTGTCCTCACTTTCGCGCTTTTGCTTGGCGCCGAGAAAGCCTACCGGAGTCGCAAAGACAACACAGGGTCTCGGCGAGTGTCCACGATAGATGGCGGAAGCCACACTATGCAGTCAAAGATAGGCGGGCGCGTGGACGAACAATTAAAGCTGCGTGCGCGTACCCCTCCTTCAGTCGAAAATGCCACAGAAAGTTCTACACGCGTACAGGGCTATACCGCACCTTCACTGCATATAAAAGAATGCCTTAGCCATGCTATCTCTTTTTTTTTTTTCAAATATGCGACAGCATTTTCTTGTAATTCGAAAGCATTATATGGCTAATTGAGCGAATCCGACGTTATCTGATGTCTGTAGTAGCGAACGGCACCTAAATACCCATTGCCTGAGCGATACGGCACCTAAATTCCGACTTACTGAAACGGCACCTAAATTCCTATTGGCTGCGACGCGTCATGTGGCTCCATAACAACGGCGTCATCGTTGCTAAGAAGCCAGCCGAAATGCTGGCGGCGCGGCGTGAGGGGGGGACGCGGCCGGTATATGCTGGCCTGACGTTAGGCCTAACGTTAGGCTAACGTTACGCTTTGAGGTCTAATGTCGTCAACCGCTACCCGCAGCTAAGGCGATGACGATAATGAAATAACACGTGATTTCAGCACGCGCCACGCTGAGCTTCGCACTCCCGGCGCCGCGCCGAGCTTAGCACTTCCGCCGCTGCCTCACCTAGCCGAGTATCAGTCACAAGCGAGCCAGGGCGGTCTTCGCGGCGCACCGCCGCACTCCCTGCCGGCGCTGTGGCTGCTTCTGCTCCTCTCGGCGCCGAGAATTCTGTCTTATTCGCAACTTATAAGAGGTGCCTAGGTGTCATCGGAATTGTTTTGAGTGTCGGTCCGAGCGCGGCCGATGTTATGAGCCGAAGGGCCAATGAAACACCGCAAAAATCGCAGCGTCATGGTGTGCTATTTGCGCTTGATAAGACTTGCCGGCGGAGGGGCACGCACGAAGAGACGGCGAATAGCGGCTGGTCCTATCAACTGCAGAGAGCACGCCATGGCGTTGTGTCTCTTTCGCTGTTTGATTGGCCCTCCGGCTCATAGCATCGGCCGCGCTCGGACCGAAGCTGTGTCACCTACGTAACGCTGCATGAATGGAGTAGTAGGAAACGACGGGTGGCCGGCCTTTCCCACCGCGGTTCAGGTCAATACCAACTAAAATCATCGAGACCTTTGAACATCCTCCTCTACCTCTATATAGCCTCATCACCATCGGATGACGCCAACTCAGCCATTGGACCCGAGCCCGATACCAAGCGTCCTTCGACGTGTTCATTGGACAAGAGGCCCAGTCGAGCGCTGGCTCAGGACTCGTATCCAACCCGCGTCTGCGCTCTGTCTCTCTGTGATGACGTCAACATTTTCCCGCACAGGCTTTGATTATTCTAGCTGTTGTTGCTCAGGTTCAGTCAGAGTTTCGTACTATCCGTAGTTCACGACGGAAACTAAAATGTCGCCCAGACAAAATGATATCGGAAAATGGGCTAATCGTCCCGACAGGTCAGGCTACTCCGATTTGATTCCCTCATGGAATGGCAACACCTGATAAGCACTTCGTTTTGTCCAGAATAGCTTCCTTAAATCGCGAGGACAATCGTTAATAGACACAGGAGTCTAACTGCTAAAACATCGTACGAAATCCAGTTTGCGGACGCCGTCTGACGCATGTTTTTTTTTTTTTTTTTTTGTACGACGGCAAAAAAAAAAATAATATGAAAGACGTTTACAGTTCCTTGTAATGCGAACTTAGAGCGCACCTCTTTAGGAGGAGGAGGGAAGGGTACGAAGGGGAGGGTATGCCCCTCCTCCCCTCCGTACCCTCGCTTTCTCCACTCCCATTTAGCGGAATATTTTCGCTAAATTTCCCGCTAAATTTTGCCAAAATTTAGCCGCTAGATTTCGCGGGGAAATATTCCCGCTAAATTGAGAGGGAAATTTAGCGAATTTTTTCTTACTAGATATAGCTGATTAGTTTCCCGCTAAATTTAGCTGGGAAATTGACGTAACGTGACCTCAACACCAATTCAGTTTGTCCACTAAATTTAGCGTGGAAAACTCTGACGTCTCATATTGCAACGCGCGCAATTACGCTGAAACGTCGCGATCCAAACCAACGCGTTTTTGTGCACGTGTATACAGGCCGTGCGGCTTCCGGAAATTGCGTATTTCATGAAGTCGCGCTGATTCCCTACGCCTTCCGGGAGCGCACGAGAAAGTTGTACATTTCCAACTTTTTCTGAAGGCTCAAGAAAACGCGCTTTGACGTAGTGGGGCATTCTGGCCTCCCAGCCAATCGGTGGAGGGCACCAGTTCCGGCTCCGCGTTCCTTCGCCGTCTGGCGGAGAAGCCAGTTTCCGAGACGAGGAACGGGACTTCTGCAGCCGAAACGAAGCTGCTGCGGACGCGCAGAGGAAAGACGAAGCTGCCCGCAGAGGGCCGCAGATGCTGCCGTATTCGATGACCAGACCAAGTGCTTTCAATTGATCGAGCTAGTCCAAAACTACTCTTGGCTGTGCGGGAAGCTTCGGCGCGACCACAAATACAATTCGAAACAAGAGAACGCTTGAAAGGAGATCGCCCGTGTTGGGCAGGTGCACTCGTGCATGCGTGCGCGCTCGCCCGAGGTTGCACCGTCCTATAAAGAGTATTCACTGTCGGACATAGCTGTGTGCGCGAATGCTGAGCGCGTGCTGATGGCGAGCTTCCACAGTTCTTCTGCAACGTGCATTCCGCACCATCAAGAGTGCCGGTCTTAGCAGCCTATTGGTGTGAGCTCGTTCTGAGCATGCGCTCTAAACATTACCCACAAATATGGCGTCCAGTGAATACCCCTATACTCTGTTTCACCTTATGTGGTACCGCAGGAAAGGCTACAAGCGCGAGCTCATAGCTCTAGGGCACATCTCGGCGGCACAAGCTCTCGTGCACCAAAGGCAGCTGTCAACGCTATGAGCTCGCGCTTCTAGCCTTTGCTGCGGTACAACATAAGGTGAAACGGAGTATAATCACTGCAGCGCGCATGGTTGTGACTCGGAAAGCGCACCGGAAACAACAAAACGTCACGAAATACGCAATTTCCGGGAAGCCCACGGCCTACGCGTGCAAAGGAACGCGTTAGTTTGGACCGTGCTTAAAAGCGGCGCTCTAAAACTGTCTTTGGGCATGTTCCAAACATACATATCTGTACGAAGCAAACATGCTTCAGACATCCGTGGCGCCTGTCCGCAATTAATTTTATCATGGTACCATGTCTTTCTTACAGTGTATGAGTAGCGCAGCAATCTTAATAGTTCGCGAAGAAAGGTAAAAGAACACACGCGAGCTGGTAAATGGCATCCATGTAACCCCGAGACGTGGGAACAATGAAAAGAAACAATAAATTAGAGACTTGGTTTTCCTGCCCCTTTCTTTGTTGTTCTTACGTTTCATGGTTACTATGGATCTTAATAGTTTATACACTCACATCGCACGTCGATATCTGTGGAGGCAAACCACTACAAAGCAGATGCTACACGACGTTCGGAACACTGAACAACATTTACCCGATTGAAAAAGGCGACGGAGTTCCTCTTGCTGAAACGAAACCTGGGATTTCGTTAGGTTGTTCATCATGCGCGCATACGCGCGAGCATCGAATTTTTCCAGATAATCCCTCCTCGTTGCTCGGGATGCCGCGCTTGCCATCATGTCCCAAGTGGTGACTCCTGAAAGTAAACATTCCTTGCGTAAAATATATACTAGTATATGTTTTTTTTTCACGTCACCAGGGACACATTGCAGAACATGAATGTCAGAATAAAATATATATATATATATATGGGTGGTTTCATCTCAAATCGTGCAGGCAAAAAGGGTCGAATTTTTAATTTCGATGAAAAAAATATATGTTATGGCGCCGTTTCTAAAAACGCAGTCGCCATAAACCGCAAGTTCGTTGGATTTTTTGTTCTCGACTTATGAATTTTTAAAGAGGCCGCGGCGAAAAGCAGTGTTTTTCACACCCGTCGTGGGTCGGATGTTTCGCTTGATCTCCCGCTGTGGATTTTCAGTCCACATTATATTATCTTTTTTCAAGCACTCTGTGGACACATTTAAAAGGCTCCAATACCATAAACAAATTTTAGCCTTTTTGCTTTTTTTCTGTAAAAATGTCAAAAACGCCCCCTCGGTCAATTGTTGACGAACTTTGACAATTAATTACTCGCGATCTACTTGGGTTACACCGATACTTTTTATGTCGATGGAGAGCCCAAAACACGTTCTTTATATGCATTATAAAATGACTCGGCTGTATAAAATATTCTTTGCGGTAAGTTTACGTTAATGTTATGTGAAAACCAAAAAGTACCATTTTTGAAATTCATTTTCTAAAAAAACCCATTTTTTATTTTTTTTATTTTTTGTTAAAATGTAGATGTGATAGTTTTGTACGCGAAAATAAAGTCGAGAAAGTGTATATTTTGTTTGTATGTTTTATATTTAAGAATCAATATCGTACAAAAACGTGTTTTTACGGCTCGAAATTGACTTGCGAATTGCGCGTCTTCACAAGCTTGGAAATGTTTTTTTTTCTTTTTTTCGACGTTCCCACATAAAAATGAAATACAGTATTTCCACCCTCTTATATTTATTGATTATTTAAATTTTATTATAGGCGGCAAGCTACATCGGAGGAGTTCCAAAAAGAGAAAGCAACACTTCTTAACAGACCAGCAGGTGTCGTAAACTTTTAACGTGTAGGAGTCGGCAGACGTCGTCGTATTGATTCGGGGCCCTCATTGGCCTGCATGAACGTCCTGCCCTTTCGAAGCCAGCAGATGACCACGACCTTTCGCGCTCGTTGTGTTAGATAGGACGGCCCGTGACAGTAAAGCGAGCAGCGCACCCTGTGTCGCGAGGAGTGAAATGGTACGATTGTGTCGTTGACGCGGCGAACAGTGAGAGCCACCCAGGAGGAGTCAGTCAGAGTATTGCACAAGGGAAAGCAAAGGAATCGTTGCCTGAAAGGATGAGGACACCACGGCCTTACAATATCGACGGTCAACAACTGTTCTGCCAGCCAAAACAACGCCGCGTGCGCGCTAAAACCGGCGGCACGGGACAGAAATCCCGCAGACGCACACACGAAGATGGGCCGGTTTCGTTAGGGATGTGGGGAAATTTGAAACCAGCCATCCGTGCATGCGTGAAACGATACCACCTGTTTGCCCTAGCTTCGAGCGCCCTATCCTTACCTTGAAACGGCCGTGCTCTCTCTCTCTCTCTCCGGGGAGATCCGATAGCACCGAAGGGTTATCTATTAAACTTGATGAAGAAAACGAGAAGGGACTGTTTAAGTTTAATTATCCCCACCAACCCGCTCGTTCTGTCCTTATAAAGGGTTATCTCTTTTGGAAACAGCAAAGCCCGGAGACTGACATTAAAACGAGCGTGTTGGTAACGTGCCAGAAAACGTTGGTAACGCCCCCGTGCCAGAAAAAGCACCAGACCAATTATGTAACCTGCTGCAAAGAGTGCGTGTATTCGGTTCCCATGTCCTGCGGTGCTAAATACATCGGACAGACGGGCCGATGCCTAAACGATCGGGTGAGGGAACATGCAGACGAGATCAAGAAAGCCGCCTCCGGAGATTTGTTACCACCCGATTGCCAAACACACCTCTGAGTGCAGCGAACTCTGTTCGGCCGACCTTCCCTCGACCACCAGGATTGGAGGTCACGCCTCAAGATACGGACGAGAGATCATGGAGGTCTTCGCCATGCACTACACTCAGAGCAACTTCGGGTCCCCGTCTATAGGCTTATCCAGGAGGGAGATAAACTTCCTGGGGCCAGAGCTGACGTCCCTCGTTTTAGCGGCTCCGAGCGATTAGATGTCTACCTCACGGGATCGTCCCTCATTTCCCTGGCTCTACACTCTCTCCCATCGCTTTCCCACTTTCCAGTGTAGCGTCTTTCACCCTCCCCTCCTTCACCTATATCTGCAAACTTCGGGTCAATAAATGTTGTTGCTAGTTGGAAGTCTTCGTTGTCCGTCCCCCCTTTCTATGTATCTTCCTCATGTCTAATAAATATACTTGTGTTTGTATTCTGCCCGGAGACTAGTTGGGTCGAAGTCAGCCTCCTTGTCAACTATAACCGTTTGTGAAGAGTGGGCTTCTCCCGAGATGAAAAGTTAGCGCCGGCTGACGTGTTCTTTTGAAAAAGGGAAGGGGAAAGAGAAAGTTTGAGTAATTGCAGAAACTACCTCGAAAGCTCCTCTCCCGATATGAAGCTTGAGGCATAGTCTCGGTTACCTTCTCGCGCATCGCTGCTCGAATCTATTCTTCATTTTGTTTCGCACAGCCACTGTTCCGCACAGCCGTCGTGGATGTGCGTAATAGAGGGAGGAACAGATTCGAGCATCATCTGGACGCCGTCATCCTGCCAGACTTCAGTGTCGTGATCAACTCGTGTGTGTTTCTTCGCCCCGCTGAACTTTGTTTCTCGGGTGCGGTTTTTTCCGAACCTTCTTTTTTTTTTTCAATGTTTTCTTACTAACTGTTTGTTAGCACTGTTCAGTTGTTGGGTTTATTTCGTCATGGCGTAGCGGCCTGGCGGTGATGTAGAGATCGTGTTCGCACGCATTTGGTTGCGTCCCGTTTAGGGAATGCCCGGGGGAGTTGGTTTTTGTTCTTGCCATGTGCGGCTGAGTTTTCCCGTCTTTATTAAATTATTGATTTTTTTTGTTTTACCTTTACGTGCCGTCGACTTCTTTGTCTGACTCTCCATCAGGCGTAGACCTATCGCCTTGCCACCACTCGAACCTAAATACTTTATTTTTTTAACGCAATTTTCGTTAAGATCGGAGTTGGTCAATTTAATTCCTATTTATTCATTTTTATTTCCTACCCCTCTCCATGACACACTCTCTGTGTGTTTCGGACCGTTTCTGTGTCACCACTTTTGTGTATTACGGAAGTGAAAGGGACATTCCCTGGTGGCCTGTGCGATGTGCGGTGAACAAACCCCCTATGTTTGGTTTCGGAAAAAATTGTATATAATATATCGACGATGTGGTGACTTTCTTTGTCTTAGTAATATGACAGCTAATAGCTAGTCGTGCTAGCTTACTGTGAAAGGTTTATAAATCGAAACAATACAACGTCTGTGCCTTTTGGTTATTGAAAGTCTACTAGGCCTGCTGATTTGGTTAGATATGTATCTCGTGGTTCCCGCTCTTATCAAAACATACATAAATATTCAATACCACAAAATCCGTTTATAATTGATTACAAAATGCAGAAGAAAATTCAAGAAAACTTTTTCACAATTCATAGAGACGCATGGGTCGCTATGTCTGACTTAGGTCTTGCAAAACAAAGACGTCTTTTTCCGATATTGATGCCTAAATATAAAACATACAAACAAAATATACACTTTCTAGGCTTGATTTTCGTGTAGACAACTATCATACCTACATTTTAAACAAAAATGAAAAAAAATGGGTTTTTTGAGAAAATCAATTTCAAAAATGGTACTTTTTGGTTTTTGTATAATATTAACGTAAACGTACCGCAAAGAATATTTTATACAGCCGAGTCATTTTATAATAAATATAAAGAGCGTGGTTTGGGCTCTCCGTGGACATAAAAATATTGGTGTAACCCAAGCAGATCGCCAGTAATTAATTGTCAAAGTTCGTCAATAATTGACCGAGGAGGCGTTTTTGACATTTTTACAGAAAAAAAGCAAAAGGCCTACAATTATTTCATGGTATTGAAGCCTTTTAAATGTGTCCACAGAGTGCTTCAAAAAAGGTAATATAATGTGGACTGAAAATCCATGGCGGGAGTTCAAGCGAAACATCCGACCCACGACGGGTGTAAAAAACACTGCTTTTCGCCTCGGCCTCTTTAAAAATTCATAAGTCGAGAACAAAAAATCCGACGAACTTACGGTTTGTGGCGACTGCGGTTTTAGAAACGGCGCCATAACATATAATTTTTTCATCGAAATTAAAAATTCGACCCTTTTTGCCTGCACGATTTGAGATGAAACCACCCATATATATATATATATATATATATATATATATATATATATATATATACCTTTCCCCATTAGCCCGAGTACCGTTCAGTGGCACGCGTATACTGCTAAGTGGCGAGATGTACAAGCACATGGCTCATTCATCGTACAAAAGACACGGTGTCCACTGCAGACACGATAACGGAAGCATCTAGCGGGCACGCCTCAACCTGCTTCGAATCCTTTCCATACATTCGTCTGTATCGAAAGGGCCTGCAGACAGTTTATGTTTGTCCAGTCACAGATATACTTAGCGTCAACTATTTCGTGCTACGTCGCCAAAGCTAACCTTGCCTACACACTGCAGCTGCAGCCCCCAATTCTCATCGCTTCTTGCTTTGACAGTGCGAGCGCTGGACCACTGCGGAAACCGCACTAGCCTCGACAACGTGTATAGCTCAGAATAGCTGATGTCAACCGTTGCCAACAGGTGACTCCACTTCCACGGAAACGTTTGAACGTCGTGCAACGGTTGTCTTCCAGCCGTTTACGCGACTGCCGACGTGGACACAAAAGATCTCATTCGGGGCGATCAGAGTCGGGCTCAGTTTTTGTACGGGCAAAGATAAACGTGGCAGCAGAGTGACGGCCTTTGGCGACTCGAATAAGGAGAAAGCTAGTTATTTCTGAACCAAATCAACGGAGCGTAGCCAGTTAAAATTGTGAGTCAATTCTTATCGTGGCGGATCGAAGTGACTGACGTCACTTCGATCCGCCACGATAAGAATTGACTCACAATCTCTTGGCTGATTTGTCTACTGTGACGCTTGGACTACGGCGCTTATGACGTTTCAAAAAGCGACGGATGACATTTTTCTTCGAAAGTCAGCGACGTCACGTCAGCGTCGCGTCGCGATTAGTTGCCGCATCGCAGATCGCGAAACTTGGTTGGTAGAAATCGGTCCCGAATCGGTTGTCAAAAACAGCCTGTGGTTAAAATGTCCGTCGCGACATAATGTCCATCGAGTCAAAATGTTTAGCAGGTCACGTGACAGGCGGGTCAAAATGTCCATCGAGACAAAGCGCCCAATCGGGTCAAAATATCCATGGAGACAAAATGTTCATCGAGTCATAATGTCCAAACAAGTCAAAATGTCCATTCGGATCAGAATGTCCATCGAGACAAAGTGTCAAACGAGCCAAATTTGCACCTAGTCAAAATGTTCAGCGAGTCAAAACATGCATTTAGATCGAAATACCAAATAGGTTACACTATTTCAGTCTAGGCCGTAATAAATGGAACAAATGCTAAACCTACTGGTGACACTTTTTTGTATTTTTCTAAATTCTCGTTGATTGTTTTGCGCTAATTTCGATTGGCGAAAATAGCTTTTTGCACTCGAGCGCGCGTGCAAAGAGCTATTTCTAATAAAGTATGAGTTCAGGAAGTCACTGTGGCCAACTATGCTCGTTCTGTGCGCATTACTGACTGGGTAATTTTGTGAAAAGTTTATTAGAGAGCACACCCCGCCCGTTGAAACAAGAAAAGCGCCGTTAATTTTTTTTTTTTTACTGTTTTGATTTTTGGCTAGTGTTGCTATTGTCTTATCAAGTTTACAAAACGTATGGTCTTTGCTGCAATCCAATAACAATATTGAGTTAAGTGTCGCTTGTAAAAAAGAATTGCCAACGACGGTTTAAGTTTATAATTCCGCAAGTGATCACATAATGACAGTTCTATAATGAGCGAATCTGCATATATGTTTGGAGCGTTTACAAATGTCTGTATCAGTACCGGTCAAAACGTGAATAAACGAGCCAAACTGTTCATCGAGTTAAATTCTCCAAACAAGTCAAAATGTCCAACGATACAAAAATGTCCATTCAAGTCAAAATGTCCAGCGAGACAAAGATCAATCGAGTGAAAATGTCCCCCAGGTCAAAATGTCCAACTAGACAAAATGTGCATTGGGTAAGAATATTTAATATTAAACGCATTGTCTCGATAACTATTTTGAAGCGCAATCGGCAAAACCGAGCCCCATCTTTACGATCACAGCCGCTTGGCTGTTACAAAAGCGCCAATCCGCTTCGCGGTTGGGGATCCGCATCGCTGTTGCTGATCCACTTCCAGTGTGAACGGGTGATGCCTGTTGGCTAGGGGCACTTAACGATTTCCACTTTAGGCTGATATTAACTGAAAAAAACATGCCTCACACGCTGATGTTCTCATTTTTAAACTTAATGAAGCTTGACCTTTTTCTGCTGGAAGCAGGGGGAAAAGCTGGATGTTTCAAGCTGGTTAGTGCAGGACAAACTTTTCCCACGATTGACTACAAAACTACACTTAACGTGAAAGAAATATTAACGTGCAGGCGACCTGGCGCGTATTAATTGTGATGTTTAAACCCCGTGACTGTGAAAAAATCTTGAAAATATATTATAAGAAACAGAAGGTGACAGACAAGCGTCTCATCGAGACGCCGGTCTGTCACCTTTCTTTTGTTTCTTCTAATATATCTTCAAGTTTCCTTCCCAGTGTCATGGTATAAACATCATGATTAAGTCTTAGCGTTTTAATAAAAAAAAATGAAATACAGCATGCTGTCTCGCCGATATACATATACTGAAATATGCATTGTGGTACCTCCAATTACGATGCTAATGATTTCTGCCAGCACGTCCCTATAAAACAAAAACAAAAACAAACAAAACAAAAACAAAAACTAAGCGCACAGAGAAGAGTTATTTGGCAGTCATTTTTTTTCTTTTTTTTTCTTTACTTGCCAAAATTGTAAATATACTAACTATAGCCTGGAAATTAAATATTTTATCGTCAAATTGTAGAGCATTGTAAAAAGCAATAATTTTCTTTTGTTCAATTAAAATAAAACCGTCGGGCCGCAAAAAAAAAGAAAAAAAAAGAAAAATAGATTCAATTTTTTAATTTGTTTTAGCGTAGCGAGTTGTGTATTTTTTACATAGAAGTCGCTGGTGGGGCCACTTTGCCTGGTTAACTGGCCGATTTATTTGACTACACGCAATGACGTTTTTTTTTTGTTTTTTTTTTTACTGCGATAGTACGTTGCACAAGCGTTAAACATATTTAATCGTGCATGTTACTGCAACGAGAGTCGTTAGCTTCAAAAAAATACTTGCTAAAAAAAAAACCGGCTGTGTTTGTTTTTTTATTTATTTGATCATAGTTTAAATAACTAACTATGCTTAGAACATGCACGCTCATATTGGAGCCAATCAAGCAGCTTCAAAAGTTCATCGTCACGACTCTCGTCGTCTTTTGCACATTTGCTGGGACCGGCTAAACAACTCACACCCAGAAAAAAGCGCAAGCTCACTGCGCATTCAGTAGTACCAAAAGTACAAAGGATGACGAGAGTCGTGACGGTGCACTTTTCACGTCGCTTGATTGACTACATGGGATTGTAGCGTTGGCTTTGCTATCGTGCATGATGTGAAGCGGAGCATAAAGTGAATAGCTACATTCACAGAAAGGACAAGAACGAATTGGGGAATGTAGGGCAGTGTGATACGAGAAGGAAAATCAGCTCACCGATGTCAAAAGGGATCGCAGTGTCGCTATTTTCCTGCGTAACCTAGCGAGCTGCACGATCCCCCGGCCGTGTTTTATGTGTGTATTAGCACCGAGATGTTTCGGTGGCGCCCTCTTATGGTTTCCCTCCGTGACGTCACGACTGGGATTTGCCTCGCCGTGACGTCACCAGTTGCTGGTCTGGCTACTTATCATCGGGTGCGACGACGAGTTCGATGGTGTGTTTAAAAAGCACAGTGGAAGCTAGGAGCCATCGCAATCCGAAACCAGCACCGTCAAAGTTGACAATCTGACAGTGCTCATATGTCCGTGGTTTGGCCAATGGTGGAAAGCTGACCGCAGCGACGCTTTTGGCCGCGCACATCGCTAATACCACCTGAGCTGCCCGATTTGTTCGTTCACCGCACTGGGAAGAAAATGTCCTTGACACGCGCCGGATGTATGGAGCGAGGGAGGTTCGCACGAGGCGCCACGAACTTCGGCTCCGCAAGTTCATAGCGACGCAGCGCTTGTTGCTGCAGAAATTCGTCAAAAAAAAAAAAACTAGTTTTATGTAAGCGGTGTACAGCTGCACAGCGGACGTTGGCAGGAGTACGCAGTTGTAGCCTTCCCAAGCGAAGCGTACGAAACACCTGAAGTTATCGCGTGACCTCACTTTTTGTGACGTATTTCGTGTAGAGATCATTTTCACTTGAAAAGCTCGATAGATGGCGCCAGCTGTCCCCCCGGATGCGATGCGCTCAGCCTAGCCCACGCACCATCTAGTCACATATACACAACACACCAGGAGTTGACTAGTCCCCATTCTCAACACATAAAAGCCATACATAGCCATGTGTATATTTAAGTTCCCTTTCATCCTTTCTTTTCTTTTCTCTCTCCTCTCCTTTCTTATTTTTATCCCCCCTCCCCATCACCCCTAATAGACTGATGTCACCAAGCGAACTGCGCAGGCGCGCACATTCCGGAAGTGGTGCCGCCGCCATGCTACTTGTAGTCATCCCTTCCCGGCTTCCCGGCTACAATCGGCTGCGCGTACGTACATCATCATAGATTATCATTTGGCACGCCCCAGTATCACCTTGATTCTCTTGCATGTTTTTACTTCATAAGATTGTGTTGTTTGTGATGCCTTACTTTCCTCAGCAAGGGCAGAAAAGCAGTTTCAGTCTTCTTATCGCTTTAGAATCGCTTTGTCGTCTGCTTCGTCGTCGTGTGCTTCTTCGTCTTCGTGAACGCGTGAGCCCACTGCTGTTCACGGGGTAATCCCACTGCGGCCGCAGAAAAAACAAAACAAAAAGACAACGGCGCCACTACTCGAGCATTCCGACTCCTCGGATGTCTCAATTGCCTTGCAAACAAGTGAAAATCTAGTGCATTAGCAAAGAACAAGAAAATTCGAGGGACCATCGGCTCGGTGTAGCATCACGGAACAGCATCAAATGTGATGAAAAAATGAGCTTGGTGGTACTCAGTCTTGTGCATAACGTTTAATCAGCCATCAAGGAAGAGGAGCTAAATA